GCGGGGCTGGATGCGGAGGTGGGGCCGTGCTCAGCTCACCCGCCTTTGACCTCAGGCCTCACCTTGCTGGTGCCCCCAGAGCTTTGGGCCTGGGGGAGGCTGCCTCTTGCTCTTGTTCCAAGTTTTCCAGTCCCAGGGGTTTCAACCAGAGGCCGATCCATTAATGTTCGCGAGAAATCTCGCTGCCAGACACGTGGGCCCAGGGAGCTGGCTTCCTGTGTGCAGGCTGCTGCCTGGGGTCCGAATTTGCTGGTGGCCGTGGAGGCTGAGCTAGGGAAGAGCCTCCCGTGACTGGGGACCTAGCGGTGCCGCTGGATGTGCTCGTCCCCTCGGCAGGAATGCGAGGGTGCGGAGGGCTGGACAGGTATGACCTGTCTTTGTCCGGCTCCCTGAGGGAGAGGCCCCAAAGCAAGGATTTAAATGCAAGTAGTTCGTTCTGGCGGTGAACCCAGGAAGTGCACGGGGTGGTGGGGACGGTGAGAGGGGTGAGGGAAGGAGGCAGACACAGGTACGCTAAGGAGCACGCTGTCGCCTTGATCAACAGGGCTCAACCCTGCGGGACTTGTGGGGGCTGCAGGGAGCCTGCCCTGGTGTGGCCCCTGTGGGCACAAGCCAGCTGGTATTCGCCCAGCAGCTGCAGGCCGTCCTCTGTTGCGGCTGCCCCTCCTGGGCCGGGCACACTCCTGGCTGCAGCCGCCCGGCAGAGCATGGCGGGCTCCCCGGGGGAAGCGGCTTCTCTCAGATGGAAGGTCTGGTGGGCACACAGGCCCTGAGCCTCCCAGCCAGCGCCAATCCCCTCCTGACTAACAAAGGCCTTTTTTGAAGCTGTGTGTTCCTTTGATGAGGACCGGTCTACACTGGCCCTTTTGTGTTCATGTGAGGTGTGGCTCCCAGAGGCGACCTGAGGTTTCTCATTGCCACATTCTTGGGGGGCCCCCGTCCCACCTCTCAGGGGTTGGCACAGTCTGGGAGAAGCTTATCCATGCATTACGACTCCGAGTCCACTGTCTCCCCCTTCCTGTCACCTATCCGCCTCCGGAAATAACCCCGGGGGTCCTGCAGGTGGCGCTGGACGGGTGTGTGGATTTGCAATCAGGGGGAAGGAAGGCGCTAGAAGGACACTTGTTTAAACTTAAGAAGAATTAGAAGTGGTTAAAAATCATGGCTTTAGGGAATTTGGACTCACACAACTTCTATTTTAAAGTTCACAGAACCTTGGGGCGCCTGGGTGGCTCAGTCAGTTAAGTTTCTGGCTTCGGCTCAGATCATGATCTCCCAGTTCGTGGGTTCGAGCCCCGCGTCGGGCTCTGTGCTGACCGCTCGGAGCCTGGAACCTGCTTCAGATTCTGTCTCCCTCTCTGTCTGCCCCTCCCCCGCTCACGCTCTGTGTCTCTCTATCTCTCTCAAAAATAAATAAGTGTTAAAGCTCACAGAACCCAAGTCAGGAAAGGGTTGACAATCAAACACATTCGTGAATCATTTTATCGAAGCCCCTCAGAGTCCAGGTAACTAATATAAAAGGATAGGACCTTGATTTGGAGAGTTATTTCTTTTGAGGGGGTGTGAGGGTTGGGAAGAAAGGTTACAAACCATCCTGCATTTCGCTGCATTAATAAGGACTCGTGTCCTCTGTCTCTGTCTCCTTGTAGAATTTTCTTTCCAAGCAGTGGTATGGAGAGATCTCCCGAGACACCAAGAATTGGAAGATTATCCTGTGTTTGTTTATTATACCCTTGGTTGGCTGTGGCTTTGTATCATTTAGGTATGAAACTGAGACATATGATGACAGGTGAGAGAGAGAGAGAGAGAGAGAGAGGGAGTGTGTGTGTGTGTGTGTGTGTGTGCACGTATCCTTAGGTAAATCCTTAGGTAAAGGATTATAAAGCCTGGAATGTATGATGGGACTGTAGGCAGCATGCCCTACACAGTAGGGCTGGGAATCTTCTCTGGCTTTTCCCGGGTTTGATTCCAAACAGTTGGAGATAGAGTTACGTCTTCAGTATCCAAGGCAGAACTCGGATTTGTTAACCCTGAAATGCCAAGGGCTGAGTGTTGGCGGGGTCGATCTGGCTCCCCTTCCCCCGGCCGTGGGTCCGAGGCCCCCGCAGGCCGCGATGCTTCGGACGGTGATGCGGTGCTCTTACCTCTTGGTCCAGGAAGAAGCCCATCGACAAGCACAAGAAGGTTCTGTGGTACTACGTGGCGTTCTTCACCTCCCCCTTTGTGGTCTTTGCCTGGAACGTGGTCTTCTACATCGCCTTCCTCCTGCTGTTTGCCTACGTGCTGCTCATGGATTTTCACTCGGTGCCACACTCCCCCGAGCTGGTCCTCTACGCCCTGGTCTTTGTACTGTTCTGCGATGAAGTAAGACAGGTAGGACCGTCCCCACGTGGGGCCCCTCCTCCTTTGCTCAGTAGGTGCTGTCTTCCCCAAGCCAGCGAGGAGCAGAAGTTGCTTCCGAGGTTCCAAAGTCATGGTTTTCCTAAAGTAAACGGGGCCCTTTCAATATCACAGCCCTCCGGTGAGACTTCTTAGCACCAAGCTCACTCCTTGCTGATTAATGTTAGTTGATGGAAATGAATTACTCAGGATTGGGAATGTGTTCAAAGAGAAGATTGACCTTGGACTGCAAACCCACGCCTGCCATTACCGTCATCAAGGGAGGCAGGGGAGATGGGGGGACTTTCAAACTAAGAGCATCTTAATGCCCAGCGTGTCAGAGTGACAGTGTTAGAAAGTCATAGAAGTCCCCGTGGAGTTCAGGGAGTGTGTGTGAATTATTCATGGTGCTTTTCTGCAGTTTCTTTGGGATCTGCGTCCTGTGGTATCCTCTCCCCACCACTCAGTCCAAAGCTGTAGCCCATGCCTGGCACATAGCAGGTGCTCCCTTGGTAATTGTTGGACAGATAAGCGTTGATGGCAAGGGTGATGCTGTCCCTAAACCGTTATGAAAAGTCCCAGGAAACCCTTTCAGACTTAGTGATGATCTGAGAGCAGTGCTGTGGCTGTCACTTCTGTTGCCCCCTTTCTGAGCCCAGACCCAACATCATACCCACTCAGGAAGCATGGCCTCGGTGCTTATGTTTACGCGATGCTACGGCAGGTGCCACAAGAGATTCAGAGGGCCATAGAGCGCCGTCCTTGACCTCACAGTGTCGCTGCCTGGTCCGGCAATCCCAAAGTGGTTTCAACCATCATGCCAAGTCTGATAGACTTTTTTTGTGGCTTCTAGGAGCCCTCGACTGAGGATGATTTGAGTCTGTTTCTGTTCTCAGCCGGCGAGTGTCTTGACCAGTTCTCAATGTCTGCTGTGGGCCGGGGGGAGGGAGGGAGTCTTTGCACCAGGGCCCTGCGTCTGCCCTCCCCGGCCCCGTAGGTGCAGGTGGGGGATGGAGATAGGGGACAGGTGGGGGTTAGAGCAACATGAACGACCCACGTGGGTGTCGCACATGGGAAGATATCAGGCTTTCTGTCTACCGGCAACTGTTCCCCAGGTCAGGGTCCTGCTGACGCGCAGAGGATTCTGACTTCGCGTCGGCCTCTTGGGGGCCCCACGTACTGGCTCGTGAGGTCACAGCCCCAGCGAGGTACATGGGGGTTGGGACGTCAAAGTATGAATTTTGGGGGGTGCGATTCACCCCATAACCCCTCTGTAAAGGCTCTTTCTCCCAGCTGTCTTTTACTTGCTGGCTTTGACTTACTACGTGTCTGCAGCCAGGGGGTGAAAATGTCCTGCTCGGGAGAAGCAAAGACGGAAGGAGGTTCCACATTTAAGGCAGGAATGGGCCCAGGCCGATGTGAGGAAGTAAGGGAACAGCACCGTTTTTACTGGGAGCCTCCTGACGCCGTTGTAGGCGCTGAGCTGGCTCTCCACGTGGGGTCACGCGTGTTCCCTTCTCCTAGCCTGCTGTGGCTGGGCTCTGGGGTCGTGCCTCCTTTTCCTCCGCTCCCGGGTGTGGTTTCTCAGCTCCTCATACATATGCTGCTGTTGTCCAGAAGCGAGTGGCATGAAAATGACCCAATGCAGAGATTGGCTTCGTATTCACGTGTGGCCCAGAGGGGCTTAGCTCAAGGGATGACATTGATGTATATCTGGCAAGTGAATGTATATTTTTTTAAAAAAACTTCTAACGTTTATTTATTTTTGAGACAGAGAGAGACAGAGCATG